AGTGTGCCCAAAATGATTGTGCATATGTTCTTATAATCTAGTCTTAACTTAATCCAACATAGGAAGAATAGAGTTTGAGATGTTAAAATTGAATGATCATGATTTATCTTTACATTTTCATCTCTAAAACAAATGCTTAAACATGAACCTCTTATGCAACCTATTGTCATGTTGAGTTTGGATAAATTTTGTGACCTTATGAACTAGTGGCACTTCAAAGATTTGAACTATCTCCTTCATAAATACCCCTTTTTGCCTTTTTGTGAAGAGAGACATGGAGTAAAAAAAGAGTTGGGCACATGAAGGTCCAAGTAAAATAAAAAAAATATGGGCATATGAAGGTCTAAATATATTAAAAGTATATTATATAAAAATAAAAAATAATAATAATAGCTCCATGATCTCAAATGTTATCTTGTGGGGATCATTAGCTTGAGAAGTGTCACAACCTTCACTAGGAACATTGTTTAACTTAACAATATACATGACATAGGTATGTTTCTCCTTCACCTTGATCTCCCCTTTGGCATGATAAGTGTTTAGGCGATATTGTTTCATTACCAATCATGCTATGTGCCTCTGTTTGCTTTTTAATAAGAGGAATAAAGTTTTTGGTTCACTAGTACATTTGTACTAGTAGAACCCTGTTGCTTTCACTCTTTGTGTCTTTGAATAAGCACAGATGCTTAAGGAACAGGTGTGGGGGTTGGGCAAGCCAACCCTAGCATAAGCAATTTCTCCTCTGATGAAAAAAATACCGAGGCTACACATAGAAGCACCTCACACATCAATATCAACTCTCTAGACTTCATCTCATTATGAGACGCTGGTTTGTATCTCGGTACCCCTCTCCTATATTTATCTCCTTGAAAATAAATGCATAAAAAAGCCAATGTCTTCATGTTATTAAAACTTTAATTCTAAAACATGACCCCAAGATTTGATCATGACTTATCTTATGAGATTGGCCTGCATAATCTTTATTCCCTGTCTTTTACTTAATGCTTGTGGGAACCTTACTCAATTAGGATAACATTACCTAAGTTATTGTGAAGTGTGATATAGTGATGACAAGACTAGTCCTTCTTTCTAATCAAGTGTTTTGGAGACTTTTGTTTTGAACAAAATTAAAAACCATGGCTTCATAACTCTGCTATGGTATAAATGTCCTACTAGAGCCATATGCAATATCTTGACAAACCTACACTTTCTTGCTACTTAGATTTTGTTTTGAATTTTATCAAATTGCGTGACCCTAGTGAGTGATGCACCATGCTTACATGATCAAAATCACATACACTCCACCCATATATACTTTACTCTTACACTAAGAGTAAGCAAAAACATGTTTCCCACACTTATGCTATGCTCTTACACTGAGAGCTAGCACAAACATTCCTTTCCACCTCTCCACAAATATGCCTTTCCACCTTTCCACAAAATAAAGACTCCATGTATCTAGGATCTCTCTCCATTCTCCGTACAAGTCTAAAAAAGAGAGACATGGTGTCAGAGATATGGGCCAGGGGTACCTGCACCACCCATATATCTGATTATCTCCAAGCTATCGGCCCGACAACCATCAAGGAGAAGGCCCGCAAGGGCTGACGTGGTCGACCAATGTAGAGATCAAAGCAAACCGAGACGGGCGTATCTAGACGATAGCTATGATCAATCTGTCCTAACAAACTAGGAACACAATCTGTTAGCCTGATCGTCCTCTCTATAACCCTACCTCTCCTGCCTATATAAAGGAGGGTAGGGGCCTCAGGCACGGGATCCAATCTTCCGCCACACCAAACTACACCGTAGCTAGGAGCAACAAGCCCAGTAATTGAATATATGAATATAAGAGCAGCAGCACCACTAGAGTAGAGATTAGCGTGTACCACGCCCCGAACCAGTATAAATCCTTATGTCTCGTGTACTACCATCTGACTCCATCTACGCGATCACATTCCTAAGCATTGCCGGAGCTAAACAATCCGACACATGGGCTATATGTTATAAAAAAGAGAGTTGGAAAATATGATAAAAAGAGAGAGAGACATGAGTGAAAAAAAGTGTCAAGCAAAAAAACAGAGAGAGAAAGGATGAGCATCAAAGATAGCCCATGATCTCAATCATCTAGATTTGGAGAGAGCATCTTTGAGGAGTCAACCTTCCACTCATATCCACACACTTGCACTCTTGATCATGTTTGTATGTTGTTTTTCTCCATGGATCCATGCTTTGACTTTACAATATAAATATTCTAAGTATACCTTTCAAGTTCTTCTACCCCAAAACTCCACATAAGCTATAGTTGTAGGGCCTTGAGGCAAAGTAAGATCTTGGTGAGGACACATACACAAATACCATTGAGTGATTTGAGAGAACCATATGAGGAGTAACATGAGCTATGTTTTGTTTTGAAAAAAATATTGTCAAAAACTCTAATCTCACTTGAGAAGGAGAAGTGATCTGTCTTCAAGTAAGAACTGTTCCATTTCTCAACCGCCCAAGGTGATGTTCTAGCCACTTCAAAACCCACAGGTATGAGTATGTGACTTGGAATATATTTTATGCTTGCATAATATCCTGAGGAAGTTGTGTATCAAATCCACCTAAATCTTAGCTCGATCCTCTTTATTGTTTGAATCCTTTACTCGGGATGAGCTAAAGTTCAGTGTGGGGGAGCTTGTTGACGATCACTAACACCTATTTTGACCATCAACATTTCACCCAAAAGCAAGATAAAGTTAGAAAAATCATCATCACATGTGTAGCATTTACTTTATAATTCACCTAGTTCCACTTGTACATGGAAATATATTTGTATGTAGGAATTTTGGCTAAAATAGTGACAAATACACACATAGAAGGCAAGTGAACATGGCAGGGGGCCAAGGGGCCCACATGTAAGGATGAAAACGGTTGAACTCGGTCGAAAAACTCCTCAACCATTTTCTATTTTTACATTTGAAATACGAAAGCGAAAGCGAAAGCGGACAAGCCGGACACGAAAACGAACACGAACTTACGGAATATCTAGAATTTTGGAAACGAACCAATTCGAGCGGAATTATGTCGAACACGGTCGGTATGCGAAAATTCAATACGAAATACCGACCCACAGTGCATAGCATTAAACAAGTGCACGACCAAATACATAACAAGTTCACAACTAACAAGTGCATGATCTAGTTCAAGTGCATAGCATTAAACAAGTGCACGACCAAATACATAATAAGAGAGATGAGGCTGGGCGCCGTCTATAAGAGATGGCAGCTAGCCACCAGTAGAAAGAATGCAGCTACGTGGTGAGCAGCCTATAATTGGGCTGTATGACCTGTGCAGTTGGCCAAATTCGGTTTAAACCGAATTTTGAATTCGGAATATTTCAAATTAAAAGTAGAAAAGTAGAAAACGGTCGAAAAATATGTAAACCGTTTTCTAGTTTTACATTTGAAATACGAAACATCTCAAATGCGAAAGCGAAAACGGTAAAGTCGGACAAGAAAATGCGGATTCGATCGGATTAAATATAGAAAACGATGCGGTTCGGTTTGGGATATTTCCGTTCCGTTTTCATCCTTACCCACATGCCACGCCGCCCGGTGCCACATAGGTGTCACCTGGTGTCCCACTTGCCTCTTCCACATCACCGATCTGTGGAAGAGGTCCTCCAAGCCTTCTCCAGTGTTGATGTTAAGTCAATTTACATCGATGGTCACGATGGAGTGGTCTTGGATCCATGGGTCCACTGTCATGGACTTGGAGCCCTCCAACCGACCTTGGAACCGTCTTACCGACCAAATCTTTGCACATGCTGCCTTCACAACTGCCTTTGGGAGCCAACCAAGGCCCTACGATTGAAAGGCGATGGAATCATATGCCGGTCGGTGCCCCTACCATGCCGCCCGGCACCCAAGTTTGCTCCACCGACTTCCTACGTTGCCTATAAGTACCCCCACTGCCTCTAGACACTATAAAAGGGGCAGTGGTGCTCTGTGGAGAGGGGCACCATCTCATTCCATCACTCCATGTGAGAGTAGTAGCTAGGCAAAGCTCTGTAGCTCTACTACTTAGAAGTATAAGATAGGGAGAGAGTCAGGAGAAGCTTGGAGAAGGGCCGGTGTTGTCGGCATCCTCTCTACTTGTGCTTTGTCGGATGAAGCTCTTCTTCTAGTGAAGTCCAGCATCTTTTGTGGTAACTCTACTCTTTTGCATTACTTAAGTATTATTTATATTATTATGTTTACTGGTTTCACCGCTTGGTTAGAGTGCTCTAGACTCATTTCATCGTGTACAGGATTAGAGTAGTAAGTCTATAGATTAAGCATGGTGCTTAGGCTATAGCTTGCCTATGTTTATGACTAGGCCTCCGGATAGATGGTGGTAGGTGGCAGGTGGTGACAACCCTGTCCATCCTCTGTATTCCACCACGATAGGTCTAGTTATTAAAACATGGGGCTCGTGGCAGACCTTGTCTAGTTATCCCTCCTGGTTGCTAGGCGGGCTGTGCCCCGAAGCAAACAACCGTGATATAGGTTTCCTTAGTCTTGCATTAGTTCATAGAAACCACGGATATCCTTTCTACCCATTATCTTTACCCTTGTGCTATCCATAGACAACTTAGCTCTTACACTAGATCACTTTGTGTTCCTTGTGGAAATTCGATACCCTGGAATACTCCTGGGTAAAAGCTATATTGACATCCGTGCGTTTGCGGATTTATCTTTTTGCCATATCTAGTGTCGACATGCGGCTGCGTCGAGGTCAAACTTAGCCACCAATAGGCCAGCCACGGCAGTTGCCGAGGCTTGATTGACGTCGCCGACAATCGTGGTGATGACAGCTCGGTGAAGAGCTTGCTCCGCCTGCACCAGGTGATCGGACCAATCGATGAAACAGGGAAGCGTCAGGGCCGAGGAAGCGCCATCATCCAAGGTTTGCAGCCCCGGAGAGGCATCTCCACCGTAGCCCTCAAAGTTGCGCCGGGAGGAAGGTGAGCTGTCATGAGCTGGATGGCGCCGCCGCCGTGGCCGACATCGTCGATGTGCCCATCCTTCCATGGGGGCGCATACAACCAGCGTGGCCTCAACACTGGACTAGGTCGCCCCAGCGGAGGCCGTACCAGCTGCCGATTCCATCGTCGGGGCTGGAGCAGAAATCCTTTGCCACACCGAGACGCGATCGCCCGGCACCGGCCGCTCACCAGCAAGGCAGGCCGCACCAGGACAGACGTAAGAGTGATGCCCGACACCACGGCACTTGAAGCAGTGAGGACGCGAGCGACACTGGGCCGCACGATGCGCCGTTGAGAAGCAGTTGAAACAAAGCCCTCGGAGGTCCGCCGGCACCGGCCGTCTAGGATGCGGTTGAGGACTATACAGCTTCTGGCGAGTGGCGCGGGACTCCTTCCTCATCCATCCATCGGCATCGGAGACTCTCTTGGGTTGTTGGGGACGAACGACCTCGAACCAGAGGAGGATACGTGGCCGCGGCGAGGAGTCGGAGCCTTAGAGGCAAACGAAGTGACGACCACCTCCCGGAAAGAACGGTAGCCAGAGGTACCGTCTCCGGCACTCGCACCATCGTCGGACGCCGGGCTCGAGTCCGACCATCGTGACTCGTTGGAGCGGCCCGTTGGCTTGAAAGGACGAGTGTGGGGAGACAAGGAGGGGGCGGAACCAGGCGCCTGAGCGGGGAAGCTTGCCACGGCGGCGGTAGGGCTGGTGGACGGCAGGGCCATGGTGGCCGCCGGCGGTGGCGTGGGAAGGTGAGGGGACAAGACGCACCGATACGACTTCCCGCAGACCACAAACTTATACTTGTTTCTAGATCAAACTCTTAGTCACACTATCATTGCCTGATACAATTGCTTGGCTCAATGTCAACTAGGACAAACATAGAGAGGCGAGCAACTGAGCAAGGATGCCATTGACCGTACCGAATCACATATGCTTGTACTTTTTTTCCTTTGGGATGGGGATGGGATTGTCTCACTAGCTTTACATAACCAATTTAATTAATTTATTTTGTCCCTATCGAGATGCAATTTTTGGAGACAATTTCGTAGTCAATCTTCATTTTTGTCTTCCTCCTCGTTGGTAATAAGTATGCAAATATATGGGGTTCTCAAAGTGCCGAATCAAACATCAATTCGATGTCACTAGATCAAGTTTCCACTTCATCAATTTCCTTACTAACTAAACAAGGCAATTGTTTCGGTTTGAGCACAATTCAGCTCATCCAAACCAAACTCTACAAGCTAGTGGTATTTATATACTTTCTTTGCCAGCCATGTACTCTCTCACTATGACATTCCTCCTACGTGTTGGGGTCTTGGGGATATGCCACCCGAAAAGCGTGTTGAAATGTTGGCGAAACGGAAGTGGAGGACGTTTACAGAAAAAGAAGAAATGGGAAGGAAGGGGAAGAGAAATTGTGTCCAGAGCTCACCGTGGTGGCACCTACCCACCTAGCCGTGGTCAAGTCACGTCCTCCCGGCCCCCGGCTCCCGGCTTGCGGCTTGCGGCTTGCGGCACCGGCAGGTGCGCGACTTGGAAGCGCAGCACGAGCAACTCGGGCTCAGCCCGCCCACGCGGCGTACCCGCGGACCGGCCCGCCCGCGGAAGCCCGAACCCGGCAAGGAAAACTAACACCTCACGCCGTCGCATCGCACGAGCTGCCCCGATTCATTCGGACTTCCTTCCGCCTCCCCAACCGCGGCTGCTGCGGCGACCCCAACCCCAGCCCGACCCCACCTCCCGCCGCCGCCGCCGCCCGCCCCCCGCGCCTTCGTCGTCAAGAGCAGGGTTCCGGCGGCCGCGTCTCCCTCCCCTCCCCCTCCTCCACACTCGGTTCACGCGTCGGCTCGCTACCGGAGGCCCTCGCCCCCTCGACTCGTACGCCCGTCCCCGGCGGCGATCCGGCCGGCACCGGAACCCTAGGGTTCCGACGAAGCAGGTAGCTGACCGTCCCTCGTGCGGGGCCTCTCTTCCCTCTTCTCTGCTCCTCCTGTTGGATCAGGATTCGGGGCGGGCGGTGCGTGCATCCGCGCTTGGTCGCCTCCTCGAGATCGTAGACCTAGGTGCGGTGGATTAGATCTCTGAGATTGGAGGTGCGTGGCCTCCTAGAACGCTTGGAGAGCCGTTTCTTTGTCCGGATTTTGTTTTGTACCTGCTGCCGAGATCCTGATTTCATGTGCTTATATCATGCTCCGATAGCTGTGCATATGTCAGACGGCAACTCATTCTTATTGTTTTGTAGTTTTCTATCCATTGTTTTGGCTGGGTGGGCAGCGCTACCCGTGCCAAAATTCAAGTGATATAATAATGTTGCATCTAGTTAATCCTATTTTATTATACTAGCAATCAGGTTATTGTAATCAGTATCCAGTTGCTTGTGTTTAACATGTTGACATGATGTTGCATCTGGTAAATCCTATAAGATGATGGGTATGGTCTTAGTCTTATGTAATCTTATGTAGTCTCATATGATTTAGTTGTTTTCAACATCTTACAAGATCACAGTCTGTGATTACACTCCCTGTGAATGGATCAGTTTATGTACTACCATAATGGTTTGGAGTACATGAAAGGAACTACTGCAAATGCGTAGTTCATTTCTGTGCTTATGCACATAATATAATGGGGACTCAGGCATTTATATACGTCTCATTTTTGAACTACCTAGTTTTACCTTTGCTTGCTTGTCATGGCAACACCCATTTTTGCTGCGCAAAATGTGTTATGAGCAATACAATTGTCAAGTAGCACTTTTTGCCACAGTTTTTCCACTTAGTCACTTTATTAGGTTGATAATACAAATTCTGATCTAGATACGCGGCATATGCCTCAGTGATAAACATTTTATGCAGTGCATGGGAATCTTTAGATGCAACTCCAATATTATAGATATCAATGGTCTTTATATATTTCTGTGGTATTTGCCAACAATGTACTTAGATCTTTATATGTATTTGCAATATTATACATCCGTTTACATAGACTCCATGTGTTTAAGATATTGTGACGTTAATGTCATCGTATGATGGTCAGCTTCTTAAGTACTTGTTCTCCAACAGTTTGTCACAAGTAACCAGTGCAATTCGTCTGGTGAATGCAAAGCTTTCTTATACTTGACTCAGCATTAATTCTGGGTTCCTGTACAGGAATGATGAGTCATCAACAGCAAATTGCCCCTCCTAGTAGAGGTTCTGTGAATGGATTCCCCCATCGAAAGCTGGATAGGGAGGGTAGTGGAAGGCATGAAAGTAAAATAAATTTGGTGAGATCATCGTCTGGTGGTTTTACCAATTCAGGTAAACATCACACCTTATATTAAATGGTTTAATACTTCAACATTTATGACCTATTGTTGATAATGTTTTCTGTTATTAAGAAATGAGCTATTGTTGATAATGTTTTCTGTTGATAAGAAAATGGCATCAAACTAGGGCATGGAAGCCATTCGAGGGACCGGCTAATCTATGTTCTAACACAACTTATTGGGCATCATGTGGATGTGCATGTGAAAAATGGGTCTATAATCTCTGGAATTTTCCATGCAACAAACTCTGACAAAGACTTCGGTACACCTCTCTTTTTTTCTCAGTTCCTGACATAGCTTTTAAGAATCCTTAACAATTTTCTATTCGAGCACAGTTTTCCTGAATTATATTGTCATATTCCTTCAATACTTAACTTCAAGATTCTCCTACAGGAGTAGTCTTAAAAATGGCTCAGGTCATAAAGGATGGTTCTGCCAGAGGACAAAGATATGCTGATGATGTTGTAAAGAAACCTGAGACTATGATAATACCAGCAAGGGAGCTTGTACAAGTCTTCGCCAAGGTTCTTTCTCTATTCTTATTTTTCTTGTCTATGGTTCGCAAATTTTCGTTTGTTATTCCTTCCCTAATTATTAGTTTGTTTGATTTATGTGGGGGTACTTCTGATGTGTTTATGGATTGAATTGACAAGGTGTTGTGAATTATTATCCCTTTTCTATGTCATTAATTTAATTATGTAGTGACTATCAAATATGGATTGTCAGGATGTAGCACTTGGCGTTGATGAGCTGCCAAAAGGTCCTGGCCATGACAAAAGGAAGGACTTGCTGATTGATTCTGCTATTTCCCGCTCTCATTATCTTGAAGAGAGGGAACTTGAGCGCTGGGCACCAGATGAAGGAGATTCAGAGTGTATTGAACTGGAGAAGTATGACAGAAAGGGAAATAGGTATTTGATGTACTGAAGCAATATAAGTTTTTCTCCCTCTTCCTTCAACTGCAACAACCAAACCACCTTACTACCTTAGTCATAGATATGTATGGTCGTTAGATGAGCAATCATCTCTGCTTATCAGCTTCTTTTAATTGTTTCATACTCATACATTGTATAATCTAGTTCCATATAACAGAACAGCAAAAAATGGACTATGTAGATGATAATGTTGAACAGCAATATGTGATTTCATCAGTGTAGGCACCTATTGTTTGTACTGATGTCCTAATCCTAGTGCTTGCATCAATCGAAATACTGCTGGAACATCTCTGACATTATTTGCTTTGGTTGTACAAGGCTGCATGATAATTAGTAATTCATACATTTGCAGGAGCTGGGACCAGTTTGAAACCAATGCAGCTTTGTTTGGGGTAAAGAGTACTTTCAATGAAGAAATTTATACCACAAAGCTTGAGAGAGGTCCTCATATGAGAGAGCTTGAAAAGCATGCTTCGAGAATAGCTAGAGAAATAGAGGGAGAAGATACCAAAGATATTCATCTTGCAGAGGTAAGCCTAGGCTCACATTTCTGTTTTTGGTCTCAATGTTGCAAGTATAGTGAAGACTGAAGTGCATAAAAATATAGTATACAGGCACATTCTTAGTATTAAAGATCTGAAGTATTGAGATTATGTCTGCAGGAGAGAGGCTTATTCCTGGGTGATGACTTGGACCATGATGAAGAGATAAAATATTCAGCAGTGCGTAGAGACACCGATAACAGCAAGTACAAGCCACCATTTGCTAAAATTCCAAGCAGTACATGCCATGTTGATTCGTTTAACAGGACAGTCAATATTGATCCCAAGGATTCACTGGCATGTTCATCAAAAATGGTACAGAAGTATAACTTTTTTATACTAATGTTGTTAATTAAGTACTCCATAAAGTCTTTCAAGATATACTTTGACCATTAGCTTATCTTGCTTACAATATGTATCAATTACTACAAAGCCAGTGTTTATTACAACATTTGTGAAATAAGAATCTAGTGATGCATCTTTTGTGCACAGGACATACATATATTTAATAATTGATGGTCAAAGTACACTATATACTGACATTGGGGAAGTACTGTTTTTTAGGTGTTAGGCAGTCTCTACTGTGCAACTTTGCTGGTTAATTTATTTTTTGCTGTAAGTTTGACTTGATACATTCTCAAAAACATGGAATGGAAGAGTATAAGGTCTTGCTTTTTACATGTTCTTTTATCTTGAAGAAGCCTGGGGGAGTGTTTGCCTTTTAACTTTTATCAACAATATTTCCAATCTATTCTATGAGAACCTTACAAGTCAAATTACATTTTTGTTTAAGAGCTTTTTGTTTTCAGAGAATAGTTATTCTATGATCTGATTGACGCAGTATATTCATAAAAATAGCTATGCTAATGCAATATTTCGAAGCATGACATCTGCACGTTTCTTAGTTTTTTTCTTTGATGTTCAGGATGAAGAATCATCATCCCACATATTTGATGATACCGATGCATCTGCCACTATCCAAACCAATAGCGTTAGCCAGCCAACATCTGATCACCTATCAGATAGACCCTTGTCCAATGATGAAAACAGGTACAAAGTCCTCTTCACCTGGGTTGTTCAGTCTTCAATTATGGGCATATAAGTTAATGTAAGATCTGTATATAATAGTAGCTGATTTCAAGGCAGTCACAATGATCTCATGTTACTTCCCATGATAAGGTTTCTATTTCTTGTTGACCTGTAGCTAAACTCAATCTAGCCAACCGCATGCCGATTTAGCTTTAGTTAATCTGAGCTCAAGCTCTATTTTCATTAGTGCTCTGCTTTCAAATGAAAGTCTACCCTGACTTGCTTAGGACTAAAATTCATTTCTTGTTTTTCTGCTCTCAATTGCATCCAAGCTGGTTTAAGACCTTGGCATGTTCATACCCCTAACCCCTTGCTAATTCATCAGCAATGATTATTTGGTGATTGTTAATCCTCCAGGAGACCACCAGATTTATACTTGTCATTTGATTTGAAGAAGGATAACATATTTTAGAACACTTCAAAGCTAGCCTTTCCGCAAAAATGGTTCGATTGTATGCTAATAACTAACCCCAGTTTGGGTACAAGTTTCCACCTTTATAATACATAAGAGTTCATAGCTGCTATGCTATTAGTCTAACCAATTGTTCCAAGGACTGTTGCTCGTCATGTCCACTCTGATTTTTGGAGTCATGGTTTTCAGTGACGCTTGCCTCTTTTGAAGCTTTTTCTATTGTATCACTTATATTAACCATTACAATCCTAATGATAGTTTATTGATTTATGCTAACATTAAAAAGTATGCTCTTCTGGGCTGGCCATATGTAGCTGGTATCCCTTGTGGTAGTTGAAACTGTACTTACTGAATGATAAACAACTGCAAAGCAGATGTGTCGTCTTCTTAGCCCATGCAAAGCATGAACTTCAATGATACTGTGTTGAAGCATGTTTTGTAATTTGTATGTAATGTAAGTAGTATCCAAACCTGCATTTCCTTAGGTTTACATATGTTTCCACTGTTGGAGATGGGAGTACGCAGCCCTCATGTAATAAGAAACATTAAATGGGAAATAGAACAGAACAGGGTATTTTTAAAACTGGGAAAGTGCTGGCTCATTTACCAATGTCAAGTCACATACATTGATGGGGAACAAACATATTTTTAGCCTTACTAATTAGCATGCACACCACCGCCTACAAGCTGCTGTACATCTATGAATTTTGGCTTGCTATGCTAACTAACTTTGACTTCAGAGTTCAGACAAAATTTGAAACTCTGGAGAACACTAGAGTACTTACATTGGCAGCTTCAGGAAGTAGACTAACCAAGCAAAGTCTCTAATCATTTCCTCGAAATGCGAATTAATTCTATCAGCATAAACATTTCCAGTTGACCTGTTATTTTAATGACCATTTATGATAACCCTGAAAAGTCCTTCCATGGTCTCTGCTAGCGTAGTATTTAGCATAATACAGATTGTCTGTGTAAGTGTAAATGTTGTTTGGCATTAAACTGCTATGCTGATTGTACATGTTCCTCTCCTTGATCCTGTATATCAGTAGGCAGGGTTTCTGAACCGAAAATTCTACCAGTACTCTCAAAATTAGATGGTATACACGCGTTTTGAAGATTTCAACTTAATAACTTTCGACCAACAGTTAGATTAACTGTAAATGAGCTAAATCAAATCGCTCCTTAACTGGTGTACTCCAGTGTTTACTGGTTGAACTTGACATGTTTTCGAAGTAGATCACTAGTAACATGTTAGAACAGATGACAGCATAATTGATGCACAAAGCAAATTTGACATATTGTTGTGCACCTTAGGTTGGACAGAAAGCTGAGCAAAGAGAGTAATGAAAACATGGATAACAGAAAGTTGCAACCTGAGAATAATGTAAGTTTATGTTACTTTGTTAAATATATTTGTTAAAAAAAATTCATCTCACACCTGAATTGAACTTATTTTCTTTTTATTTAACAGTTATCTGATGGTGCCAGACCTCTTATTTCTGAAGGTGAGTAGTAAATTTAAGCATCAATTGGAAATTTCCTGTACTTGTAGACTTGGTGACTCATTTTCCATTTATCTTGATCATTTGGATGTATGTCAGCTCTCCTTTTCTTTGTGTGTAAGCATTGTTTCTTGGATCTCATTGTTGTTGTTTTGTCCTTTTTGCTATTTATCAATTGTATGAAGATAAGATTCTAAATGGATGGTTCCATTACGTACATTACATTTATGGATTGTTCCTGTGCCATGTGTGTGTTTTACGTGCACCATTACATGATTTCTATTGATTTTTTTAAAACTTCGCGACATGTTGGATCAACTGTATTTAATTTTATGGGGGTACCATTTCCCCTGAGCTCCGACCAATTTCCCTATTATTATGTTACGTACCAGATGTTAATTTGTAGGAAACGGTTTTTTGTGCCTGGCATGTGTATTTTCCTTAGTTTTGAGCTTATTTATAGCTGCATCTTGATTCATTTGATTAAATTGCTTTGGACCTTCCTGTTCTTTGGCTCTACTAAATTGCAACAGTTCAATAGCATAATATGTGATGCTATGCTACTTCTGCAGGGTTGGATGGGCGACCCTCAAGTTCACATGCATATGAACCCTCATCTTCTGGTCAAGGATTCAAATCTCGAGAAACACCTGATTTGACAGTATCTGTCAAACATCCTTCTGCGACGGAACCTGTGACTTCCTCTCAAAGACCTGGCAGTTCAACATCGTCAACATCAGAGCGCATTGCTGCAAACTCAGCTGCGAGTGCTCCTGGCTTGTCACCAAGCTCTTCAATAGGATCTCTTACCTCTGAAAAATCAACTTTGAACCCTAATGCTAAGGTCTGTCTGACATAAAGTTGTTTATGTTCTTTGATCACTTCTGATGAATCTGCTAATACCAAATCTTATGTTAATCTACACAACTTTTATGTATTTAATATCAAACTTAGATAAGTTTTATTGGTAGGAACCTAAAATGGTTCGTATCTGTGATGTGTGATAAGAGGTAGTACATTGGCCTTTTTTATGATTGCATGCTTATGAACATATGTCCATTTAGCTGTTTTTGCAATTTATCAAAAATGATAGTTGTTTCTTCAATCAGGAATTCAAGCTAAATCCTAATGCCAAGAGTTTCACTCCGTCAGCATCTTTGAGGCCACCACACCCTACATCATCTGATGCATCATATTACTATCCTAATAACATGCCGGCGGCACCACTTGGACCTGGTTTGCCAGTGGGCATGGGGGTGAGCCTTTGTATCTCTGTTTCTTTTTCATGTTTGTTCTTCGAAAGTTTATATGAAATAGGTGGAACATGATTTCAGACTGAATGCAGATGGTCAAATACTGGTCTCAGATGAATAAGTTAGTTTTCTCAGTAGACATCACTGAAGAGAGCACTAGTTTGCCGACAAAAATAATTGTCATTAAGAACCAGTTACCTGCTTGTCAGGCACCTTCTTATGTAATAGTAATTCTTATTGTTGTTTTTTAACGTAATTGTTATTGTTTTAGCCCCATCAACTCTCCAATATGAGATTTCTGAACTGGTCTCTCTGTTTTCCTGAATTGTTTACGATATTAAGTAGAACTTGAAAGTTTACTGACCAGTAGTAATATTGGTAACATCACGATTTTGCAGACAAATATCTTCCCTTAAACGAGTGGACTTTCATCTCTTGTTTTTTCTGAAAGGATTTCTCATAATATGTTTGTACTCCAAATTATAAGACGTTTTGACTTTTCTAGATTCATTGCTTTAACTGTGTATCTAAACATAGTGTATATTTAACTGCATAGCAAAATCTATGTATCTAGAGCCAAAACTTCTTATAATTTGGAATGGAGGGATTAATTTTATTGAGCACTAATGAAGTGTAAACTGTTGAGTCATTCTTTTCAGAAGGTTGTACTTCATTAGTCAAACCTTGATTCTGAATGAGCAATACATTATAGTCACTACATTTACATAAATTAAATTGCAGTTCCCACCGGCATATGGTGCCCAGTCTGTCATGTATAATACTCAACCTGGAGCATCACCGCAGGGTTACATGCATCCTGCTGGTCCACAGGTGAGAAAAGCTTTACCCGTAAGTTAACTTTGCATTTTTCACTTTTCAGTTTATCCCTGGATATCATGTCTTAGTGAATTGTTAATCTGAAGGACTACTACGCTTGTTTGAGACCACCCCTTCAGATGGCCGATCTATATGATACTGAATGGCTGCGTTTTTTAAGTTTTGCTACATTCCAAATTGTAAGACGTTTTGACTTTTCTAGATACATAGCTTGTGCTATGCATACCTATGTCTAGATACATAGTAAAAGCAATATATCTAGAAAAGCCAAAACTTCTTATAATTTGGAACGGAGGAAGTAGCATTTAGTGTTATTAACTTATTTGTTTGAGTAATACAACTTTATCCTTTGCAATGGTCTTTCTTCTGTCATCTCTTTAATATTTTGATTCACAAATCACAATGCATTGTGATCAAGCAGGTTCACATATTTAATTTATTTGAGCACTTCAATCTAAATTGAAACTTGCCGATGAACTGTTAAATTGCTCCAAGCTAGTGCTGGGCTAAGTTTACTTTGTATGTGCAGTATGGGCAGCAGATGATGATGGGGGGGCAGACTCGTCCTGTTTATTATTATGCGCCTGTAAGTTAAAAAATGACTGTTTTATATGCCTTTGTACATACCATGACATTGGACTAGCAATCAGAGCACTATAGTGAGTTACCCTTTCTTGATTTTGTTTGAAATATGTTTTGCAGGAGATGCAACAATACAGAGGAAGAAACTTCTAGATATACTATTTTGAACTGCTGCTAGATGAAAATTGCAGCAATCCCCACAAGTGGGATTATGACCAGGCAAAAACCGCTATTAGAATGGAAAGAACTGGTGATGACCTCCCTGACTTTGTGTTGCTCGGATTGCTTGGACAAAAAGCCCCACCGACTTTGTGTTGCTCGGATTGCTTGGACAAAAAGCCCCATCGGCCTTGTGTTGCTCGGATTGCCTGGTCAAAAAGCTCTTCATTGTTCTGTATCAGTGTTGCTCCGAAGCAGGTTGACTGGAATTTCTTATTATTTTTGTCAGACTATTGATGTTGTAAATTAAATTGCGGGTCAACTGTTGGACCCAGAAATGACATTCATAAATGTGTGAGAGTGCCCCATGTAACATTTGTGTTCCTTAACGCTTGTTCTGATGTAAGATTTGAATGAAATTCTCAAAGCTGAAATGGATTAAATTGCTGACCTATCTGCTCGTTTATACTCGGCTGGGGATAATCCTGGAGAGGATGGAGAATCTCAGTAGCGTAGGCCTGCTAATGGGGAGGGGTTTGATGGGTCTTTGGGGGCAGGTTCTCACATGGGGTCTGAATCGATGGGTGGGGACGGGTTTTCCTGCTTCGTGGGTTGGGCTTAGATGAAAGCGATGGAGCAAAATCTGTGTGCCATTATAAAAGATTGCAGTTACCTACAAGTTGCTAAAAAGTTGAGTGGTACTGGCTGGAACTATTTTGCCGTTCATGTCATTTTGTCTGCTGCTAACAGTGTCAAATGGAGCCGTGAAAGGTTTGTCAAATGGAGCTTCGAAAAGTCAGAGCTGTCCTCTAGCTTGAAAGTTGTGTTTTTCTCCTTGCCCCTCTCTGATCCTATGGCTTTTGCATTGTCTGAGAGTGTCAACTTAGGACTTAATTAGACGCTAATTTGAAGTGCAAATGACCCTGACCCCTTAATGAAAGTTGTAGAGCTTTGAGAGAATGACAACTTTGTTGCAGACGGCCAAGACCGAATCAAAGGTGGCATTTGGATAACCCATGGGAATGGGTTTGGGATATAAAGATGGATAGAGTTGAGGTGGGTTAGGGATAAGTTCAACGGTTTTTTAATCTTCCCTTGTTTGGCCCTTCTGATTTTGGGTTATGGAAATGGTGGGCCCCACACATGATTTGAATGAATAAAAAATTGGATAGTCTACCTCCTCTGTCGTGTATGCTATTCGGAAGGGCGTGGACAACAAAAAAGTTCTGACCAGTGGCACTTGTGACCGCTCGAACTTTTTAGTAGCTTGTATTGTCAAGGGCGTCGAGGGGTAAGGTAGGCGCACCCCGGCTACGTAGTTCGTAGCCGTGATCCGTGTTGGGGCGAGGTTTTACCCCTCAGCGCCCGTTTTGTTGAGAGAGGGAAGAAGAGAGATAATTGTTCTTGCTTAATCCCAAATGATGGATTACAAAAACTCTTATAGGCCATAGCCTCAACAAACCCTAACAAATCATTCCTAAATTAAAGGTCCCCCTTGATTGGCTTCCCTTTTATCTAGCCACTTCCTAAATCGATTCTCACATTGGCGCTCTTGCCGTAGTGACACTGGTGGTGCGCTGCCGTCAGCGCTCACGCCTTTCAACAGCACATCCGGGCCCTTACTCTTTTGGTGTACGTGCGGCCCCACATGACATGTATGCAACTGCAATCTTTTATAATGGCACACAGGTAAAGAAACATAAAAGCATGTCTATAACTATATGGCTGCAACATTTCCACAAATAGCATGTCTAGGCCGGATTGTAGAGTAGATCCCAAAATGAATTGAAACGTAGGACGATCATTGGATAAATCTCCAAGCCTCTAGGTCTCATATACGAGTTAGAGTAACATGTGTCCAGCTATATTATGAAGTCCGATTCAAGATGAATTGGAATGTATAACACGAATGTTGAATAAATTTTTGAAGCATAAGTCATTCAGCCGGCCGCACAACAAGTTGTACATCCTATTATAATGCATGAACATGTGGGCTACTATGACAAAATAATATATAATACATGAACATGTTGGCTACTATGACAAAATAATATAGGTGCAGTGTTGCTGCCTGAAAGAGCACAATTATTCCTCTACAGAAAAGAAGTGCATGGCAATTGTCTTATTTAGGTTTGCCTATGTCTTCCTGGATCCATTAGCATTAGGATTCCCGCACTTGTGAGTGGAAGATGAATTCTGGAAACGTCACGGTAATATCTCTGCACATAATACAATTATGATGCTCGTAAATTGTAACTAAGCATGCATATATCACTTACAATAACACAATTACATCAATGCAACGGAGCTAATGATGATTCATAAGAATTCGTTCATTAAGTTTTGATTATTTTAATATTTTAGGAGGCTCGTCTATTCTCTCTTTAATGCATTTTTTAAAAGGCAATCGACAAGAGTTTATCAAGCATATATCTATATCTCTTATAAAGATAAACCCCACTAACAATTTATCTTGTCATGCAAAATGTCCACATCAGCATCCACTAGAACATCCTAGCACATTCAACTATCTCGCCATGCAAAGTGTCCATATCAGCATTCACTAACACATCCAACTAACACATGCCATTATGTTTTCATTCAAGCTGTTCACATTAGCAAACCATATCATTTACTAACATATATTTAGTTGTCTACGTCAGAATGCTAAAAATCATCCACTAACATGTATTATGATATTTATTCAATCATATTAGTAAATATAAGTAGTATAATTTTACCAGCAATTCCTGCAGCAACGCGCGGAGCGTTCTTCTAGTTAATAATAAAGAAGCAGCAAATTTCAACAACCAAAATACAATAAAAACAATTCAACTACAAAATACCCAAAAGATGAAGGTGAAAGCAAGACAACCATCACAAAAAGCACAAGCAAAGAACCACTCTATAGCAAAACAAGCATGGAGGACATGTGGGTTCCACGTAGGTCGTAAATATGCCTCTAGAAAGAAAAACGACATCCACTGATGCTGACAGCGCCAAAAGCCAGAAACATGGTCAATGGTAACATTGGAGAAAAGGACCACACGACAATACCTACAACAAGGGGTATGGCATCAAAGACGTTAGCGTTGTCGAGCCTCTGCATGAAACCAAAAGTCCCCCCTCCCCACCCCCTCCCCCACAACTTGTTAATTTTTCCATCAAAGTATACTACTTCTAAAAGAATGCTAAATTCCAAAAGTTGCACCAGACCACTGTAGGCACCAGCTGCCAAGCAAATATTTTTGGTCCTATTCTGTAGCACTACCTCAGCAGTATTTTTCAGCGAACGAACAATGTTTTTCTCTCACAACATTTCAGCATAAGCATCAGCACAAGCCAAATTTCAGCGAAACAAACAAGTTTGTATTTACATATAGAGTTAATGAGCATCCTTACTTGAGGTATGTGAGTGTCATATTCTTCAGTAGAGAAGGATGTGCCATCACAAGACTCTGCCACTCCTCAAAATCAATCTTCCCATCTTTCTTTGTATCTACTTCTTCAAACGTCTGCCCAAGTGGTTTAATTTATGCACTAGTAATTAGTAGCTTAAAAAGGTTTCACATAATCATACGGACACCAACTTTTTTTGGCTTGTAGCATTTGTGCATTACAGAGATTTAATACCTTGTCAATGATGATTTCAATGACCTCATTTGAAAGGTTTAGATTTGATTCGGCAAGTGTTACCTCCATCATTTGCTTCAGCTGTAATGAAACAAAGGCCTATGAGATTTGACCATTATTTGTTGCATAATATAGTGATAGTTATGTAATTGGGCAATCTTGTATTCACCTCCAGTCGTTCGATGAAGCCTTGATTTTTGACATCATAAAGTCTGAAAGCAACTTCAGAAAGGAAACTTTTGTAAGCACTTCTTATTTGAATATCTTAGGTACGTGTATATGGTAAAAGAAGCTAAACTAGTCTCAGTACAGAAAAAATATGGAAAACCCTCAACATGCAAAGTTGAGTAGGTTTATCAGTCTTCACAAGAGCACAATAGCTTGCCTAGTAATGCCAAATTCAATTAATATAAGATAAGAATTCGATGAGGTAATGGCATTATATTGTAGCATGGATATTGCAGTTGCTCAACTTATACAGATAATAAAGAGGGGGGTCAATCTAGAAAAGATAGGTTGTGGATGAAGATAGGTAGAAAATAATTGACTTACAGTTAATCTTATCATCAACAGGAGTGTCAGGATGGAAGACCGAAAGAGCCTGAGCAAATTCCTCAAATTCGAGTCCCTTGGTTTCGTTGGTGTCCAACAAATCAAATACCTGAAAACACATGTGCAAAGTTATCGACAATATAAGAAATCAGTGGGCATGCATTTTTGGTTAATTCCTTTATCCAAACAATATAGACAAATTAATGCAATTGCTCGGTTCTCTACCTCTAAACATGGTGTATTAGCTAGGGGAGTAAATGAATCAATTTTTCTTTGAAATGAATGGGGTTAAATAAATAAATTGACCCGGTGACAATTGATACCAGCAATGTTATCTCCAATGTTGGTATCTCTAAACTAGCATACCAAGTGCCTATCCTCTTCTTAATAAAAAGAAGTAATTAATATTGATCCACTCCATTATTTGAGGACATGAAAAAAAACAGGTTGAGATATATAAAAGCTCCCCAGCATGGCGTGAGCATAACACGTACGTACCCGGTCAACAAAAATTGTGCATCGTTTGTTGTCACCGAAGACTTTAAGGTTGAACTCTTCCTGCAAAAAACGGATGGAGATAACATGAACATGCATGACGCCATTGTGGGTTCTACATGCATGCCCTAAAAACAGGTTGAACTCTTCCTGCAAAAAACGGATGGAGATAACATGAACATGCATGACGCCATTGTGGGTTCTACATGCATGCCCTAAAAACGGATGGGAAAACAGGAAATGCACGCAGAGCAGAGCAGCTGCAGGCATGCATACAACTGAGAGTGTTGTGGCGAATCTAGAGCATATTAGAA